GGGCGGCGTCTCCCCGAGTGCGACGTGGGCTGGAGGGGCCTGGCCGCGGGCACAGCCAGGGCTCGGCCCTGAGCGCCGTTGGCGCGGAGACCAGCGGCGCTCGCTCCTGGCTGAGCAATGTCGGTGGAAAACAACCTTTTGCTGAGTAACATGGAAACGGATCTGAAACATATGGATTAGATTCCTCTGCAAATAAACACGGGTTTTAAAAAGGAAAGGAAAGGAAAAGTACTTAGCCGCTATGTTTGAGGTTTTCCCCAGCCCGGACCTTTGGAAAATTAGTGCGAGTGAATCACTCAGTGCCTGTAACACAATCAGCTTTGAAACAGGCTCGTCATAAACCGTCAGTTTCTTTTAAAAAGAATTTTTTTTTAATGGTTCGCCCCCAAACCTGCTGCTTTGGGGGCTCATTCCTGCTGTTCTTCACCACAACAGCTGTGCACACCCAGGCTCAGGGCGGCTCCTGGGGGAGGCTCCGGGGGATTTTGGGGGGACCAAGCTGGGAAAATGTGCCCCCAACACACGGCATGACAGTAGTCCTCAGGGAAGGCAGGAGGGGATGCCCTAGGCTGGGAGCCGGATAGGAGCTCAAGGGCTCCAGCCTGCACTGTCCCTGCAACTTCAGCCATCTGCCACCTGCAGACCCCCCCGACCCTGGGAAGGCGGAGGGAAAGGGGGCTCTGCCGCGTGGTGAGAGCCCGGGCAGCAGCCACCGAATCCAAGTGGACGGCTCACGCTCGCCACTCGCCGGCCCCCCCCAGACAGGTCCATGTGGTTTAGGAAACCGGCGTCTATGGGCACCGTGCCAAGAGGTCAAGGTGACCTACAAGACAACCTGCGTCCGGCCCTGCGGAAACCCAGGCAGTGGGAAGAGGCTGAAACCCCCTGTGGTTTGGGAGCCGGTTTCGGCTCAGCGTGGTCCCGTAGCAAGGTGGGCTGATGCAGAGGCCTCTGCACGGGGGTCGGATCCCCCAGAGAGCCACGCTGCAGGTCACCCCAGCACCCAGCCCCCTGACGCTGCTGGGCAGCAGGCCGCTGGTCCGGCCGGCAGCTGCAGAGCCCCAGCCCAACGGAGCCCGTCTGGCGGGGCCTCCCCTCTGCGAGGCCCCGCACACACCCGGCAGGGCCCTCCGGAGGTGGGGGGCTTTCCACACCCCGGACGGAGCGAGCCGCACTTTCACCTTCACTGACTCACACGACCGTGTTTTTGGAGCTGGCTGCAGGCCAAGGAGAGGCTCATTCCTCAGATCCCCAAGGACTGGGACCACTGTCGGTGAGGGGCAGCCTGTCTGTCTACACTGGCAGGGGCCGTGTGTGTGTATTGGGGGGGGCACGTGGGAACTCTCCGTGCTTCTCAGTTTTGCTGTGAACCCAAAACTGCTCTAAAGAAGCAAAGTCTTTTCTTTGAGACAGAGTCTCACCCTTCTGGGTGTGTCCATTTCCTCCATTAGGGGCTTTGCAGAGGTGCACAGAGGCCGCCCCAGGGACTGACCCCCCCACCGGGCCTCCCAGCAGAGCTGTCCCCTCCTGCCCACCTGCCTTCCCGCCGCTGCTCAAACCCCATGTCCAAAAAAACATCTCGCATTCACACACGGCTATTTTACATCCATGAAAAGGGATGCAGATAGAATTTGTTGGCCGGGCGCAGTGGCTCACGCCTGTGATCCTAGCACTCTGGGAGGCCGAGGCGGGAGGATCGCTCAAGGTCAGGAGTTCAAAACCAGCCTGAGCAAGATCGAGATCCCGTCTCTACCATAAATAGAAAGAAATTCATTTGCCAACTAAAAATATATAGAAAAAATTAGCCGGGCATGGTGGCGCATGCCTGTAGTCCCAGCTACTCGGGAGGCTGAGGCAGGAGGATTGCTTAAGCCCAGGAGTTTGAGGTTGCTGTGAGCTAGACTGATGCCAGGGCACTCACTCTAGCCTGGGCAACAAAGCGAGACTCTGTCTCAAAAAAAAAAAAAAAAAATCCAGCCCCCTCCTCAAACCACAGACACGCTTCATCTAGTTTTTAAATTGGATTTACTAAGATTTTATTGGAAGGAAGAATTTATGCTTAAAGTAATTTTTAAACCACTGGTCTACGAGACTAAAGGACCCAGACAGAGACCTGCAGCTGCAGAGAAGGGACTGTTTCTTGTACCTGGGGAAGCCCAGGGGCTGCACAGGTAGGGAGCTTGTGCACCTGAGGCAGGTGAGAACCTTCGTGCACCTGAGAGGCTGCAGGAGGTAAGGGATTTAGGCCTGTCTGTCCGCACCTCTGGATCTGTCCCTGTACCCTTCTCTCCGCGTGGGATTCGCTCTCTGCACCCCCTTTTGCCTGACCGAAAACGCCTCTTACTCCTTCCAGACCCATCTCACACCTGCTTCTCTGGGAAGCTACCTGGGATCTCTTCTGGCTGAGCTAATGGCCTCCTGTCCCCGCAGCAGGTCCCTGACGGCCCGTCCCAGCCCCTGTCACGCTGTATGACAACTTCCGACTCGGATGCCTGTCTCTTCGCTACACAGTCAGCTCCCGGGGGCAGGGACTGTGCATTCAGCTCTGCCTTCCCGGGGCCGATTCGGGGCCTGCGTCTGCCAAGGTGGCCAGAAAGTTGTTCTCAGTGTATTTCCTGCTTCTGAACGGGGCGGCGGGTGACAGAATGCAACAGCACCCGCGCATTGGGGCTGCGCAGCAAGACGACCAGTTCATCCCACCGGAATGCCCGGGGAAGGGGCTGAGGGAGATACTGAGCTTTAAATTTCATTTTCGGGTTATTGAAAAACAAAAAGTTGTGATCTTCAGAGTCAAGAAAAGTTGTTTGAACGTAAACATGCATTTCTCAGCGTCTGGAACCAGAGTTAGATGGAATTCCCCGAGTGATCTCTTAATGCCACCAAAATTACTTTGGAGAGATAAATTGCCGTTTGCACAACGGACCTGCACTTAGAACTCAGGCCAGAGAGCTTTGGGAAATTTATTATGGCAGGGAAACGGGGACACTTAAAGGGGGTCGGGATATTTAGTCTGCTGATAAGATGGCTCAGGAGCGACGACAATTACCTCCAAGAATCCGAAGGGTCATTACAAGGTCATTAGGAGAGCGCAGGCCAGCTGGGCTCCGTCTACTTGGACTCCAGAAACTGACTTAAATCACACCGAAAAGAGTAAGAATCGGAGTCGAAGAAGGCCGGCAATGATGTAGCCGCCACGACTTAAACGGAGCCGCAGGGGCCAGCGGCGGGGAGCTTGCTAGAACCCGGACACTCGCTCCCAGATCAGACCTGCCACCTCAGAGCTCCCACACCCCTGCCACTCGTTTGCCTATTGCAAGTCTCAGAAGCACCGGTCTGACCGAGCCTTTCCATCTCACAGATAAAGAAATAGAGGACGAGTGAAGCCAGGGAATGTGCATGAGTTCTGGCAGATGGTCCAAGAAGGGTCGAAATGCCCATCGGCATCAGTCCATTCCCCACGGGACACTCCCGTGGTCCCACCTCTCCTGACCGGCAGAGCCACAGGGACCCCGCAGGCTGGGTGCACGCCTCACGGCCACACAGACTCAGGCCAGCCACCCCTCACTGCAGAGAGCACCAACGAGTGTGGCAGGCTCCCGGAGAACCTGCGGCCCTCCTGCCCCCGTGTGACGTCTAGAAACAGGCGAGCCGTCAATCAGCCTGGGTACATGCCTCCCCCGTAAACAGGAAATGCCACCGACAGACAGCCGGGAGACAGAAACGCACGGGGTTTTTGCAGACCTGGTCTTCAAAGGCCGTCAAAGTCTGGTGGAAGCCCTTTAACTAGAGCGGTGTCTAGGCTGGCGCTACGGCTGCCCTTGCAGAAGATGCAAAGACAGCGTCTCAGCACTCTCCGAGCGCCAGGAGCCAGGCTGTCGGGGAAGGCCACCTGCCCCTGCTCCCCGAGGTGGGAAGGGGAGGGATGGATTTGGATGCCTGGAGCCAAGCGGTGCCCAGGGACAGGCCCTGGGGAATACCAGGGGCAGGGAGGAGTGGCAGCGCCCCTCCCTCTGGAGGGAGCGCGTGTGTTTCCTGGCACTGGGGGAACTGAGCAGACGGCAAATGTATATTTGATGACGTTTCTCTGCAGGCAGCCTCCCTCCTGAAGAACCAGGCTTGAACAAAGCCTGGCATCAGAGCAGACAGGACATAAAGGGCTGGGGACCTGCTGGGGAGGGCAGGGTGGCCCCCCAGGGGAGTGGCTGGGGCAAAGAGGTGCAGAGATTGAGCAAAGTCACCACGATGGCCACTGTCCTACCCAAATTTGTGAAGTTCCCGCAGGCCAGGCTTTGCGGAGAGGAGGCTCAGGCTCAGCGGAGGGTGTGGCAACAGGGTAGAAAGGAGCTCGGCACTGAGCGGCCCCCCCAGCGCCACTCCCAGCCTCCCTCCACCGAGAGCCAGAGCCGAGAGCCAGAGCCGACACAGCAGGGCAGGAATGCGATCCGCTCCTGGTCGCTGTTCAAAGGAAACTGAAAGTGCCTGCAGACAACGGTAAACCGAGGAGACAGCCGACGCCTCGCTCTGATAAGATCGCACACCTGGGGATTTGCCACCCGCAGACAGAGATGTGCAGCCCAGGCCCCCCAGTTCAAAGACGTGCGGCCTTGGGGGTGCAGCCCACAAACACACTTTGCTCCCTTTTAGGAGCCCAGCCTCCATGCTTGCGTTTCTCTTTTGAGCTGTCGCCGCCAATGCCAACTGCATTGCACCCATCGGATGTGGCCGTGCCCTGCCAAGACCTCAGAAGGGACCGAAAGGGGGTCGCTTGAGCGGCAGGCTTCAAAGGGGCTGGTGAGAATAACTGCATTCAAGGCGCTTGTCCCACGGGGCCGTCCCCACTGATTGCCACTCTAGCCGTTCGACCCGTCTGTGCCGGGGCTGCGACACACTGAACGCCGGGGGGCTGACAGAGCGCTCCTCCCCGTGGCTGCTGCGCCAGTCTCCCCCCACCCCGTGTCCCCGCACCCCGAGAGTGTCCTGCAGCTCAGCAGTTCTCTTACCGGAAAGCCCCATGCGGTGCGCGTTGTGCACGGGGACCCGTGTGTGAGTCCCCAGAAGCCAGCCGGGACTTCGGGGTCAGCCGGGGAGGGGCCCGTGTCTTCCTGCTCCGTTCATGTCACCGGTGGATGGAAATCACCGGGGAAGACCCCCGGCGTCTGTAGCTTGTGTCCTTCAGCCCAATCCTTTCAGACGCAGAGGCTGAGACTCCTCTGATCTGCTGCGGGTGGGGGGAGACCCGAGTGCGCTCAATGTGGAGCCGACAGGGACACACGCACAGGCACACACACGCGCACAGGCACACACACGCTTTCGTGGGGGGGATCTAACTGGGACACTGGGTACTTGCAACTCCACTGTGCAAACTTCCATGGCATATCACGTATTAGTGACTTCTACCAGCCAGACAGAACCCCCAAATGCAGAGCCGGATGGGGGACCCTCAAATTCAGGGGGCACCAAATAAGCAACCAGTGCTCTGGGCAGGGCGAGTGTCTCGGGCAGGCTCTCACACCTGAGCTAGGCTCCAGCACGAGGGAAGTTGCCGCTGCCCAGCAACAACTGCCCGGCAACGACCGCCCGGTGGTCCCCAGACCAGGTGCCTCCCACACAGCCGGCCCTCACTTCCTCCTGCAGGAATCCGCAGTCCTGGCCCACAATACCCACGAGAAACTGCCTCCCAGCAAGAGAGGCCCCTTAGCCCATCTTGCATCTGGCGAGAGAACTATCAGGGAGAGTAGACCCATCTGAGACTATTTTGCAAATGACTTACTTTTATCTTTCCTCCAAGTGGTACAGGTGGGAACAGTTGACTGATCTGTCTCACATACACGTTCTTCCATTTATCTTTAAGTAGGAATTTTTGGGTTTTTTTGTTTGTTTGTTTTTTAGCATCGTGATCAACTTCAGCTCTTGCATCAACTCTATCGGCATGTTCCGGAAGGAGGAGATGGAGCAGAGATGGGGCCCCTCTCACAGAGTTCCTGGGTCAGGAGAGAAGACAGAGGGACGGTGAACACAATTTGAAAGAAACACACACTGTCTTTAAAATGCACCCATAACTGACATCGTTTTAAGAGATTTCTCTGTGCTCAGCACTGGATTAAATCTTACTATTGTGCCGATTACCGTAGTTTTCATAGCAACCCCTGCGAGGTAGATTGTGTTATCCCAGCTGACAGATGAGGAAACGGATGAGCCACAAAGAGTCTAAGTGACTTTCCCAAAGTCTCGATGCTTTCTCAAAAAAAAAAAAAAAGGAGCTTGATGGTTTTCATAGCAACCCCTGCGAGGTAGATTGTGTAAAAGAGAGAGATGAGAAGAGCAAGAAAAGCTGGGAGGTGAGGAGCCAGGAGGGAGGGGAAGCAGGATGCAGCTGGTTGGCAGCACACCTGCAAAAAATAAAAACCCAGGCATCCCACCCTGCCAGAAGCTGCTCAGGAACAATAAGCATCTTTAAGTTCCACCAACAGGGGTCGCCCTTGGACACCGCCGGGCCTGAAGCTGGTGTCAGGAAAGGGATGTCCCAGGCCGGGCTGGGCGGATCTCTGCCTGATTGCGGCTGGTTCCGGTTTTGTCCGGTACAACAGGGCTGCTCAGGCGGGGACAGGAGAGTCCTGGTTTCTTCTGGTGGGTGTGATGTGTGTTGGAAGTTGGGGACTCGAGTCCTAGGACACTGGTCACAGCCCTGGCAGTGGATCTTTACATCTTCTCTTCAAATTCTCACCGCTGTAGAGAAAGAACTCTTCTTTCCTTTTTATTTATTTATTTATTTTATTTTTATTTTTTTGAGGCAGAGTCTCACTCTGTTGCCCGGCTAGAGTGAGTGCCGTGGCGTCAGCCTCGCTCACAGCAACCTCAAACTCCTGGGCTCAAGCGATCCTCCTGCCTCAGCCTCCCGAGTAGCTGGGACTACAGGCATGCCCACCCACGCCGGCTAATATTTTCTATATCTTTTTTAGTGTCCAATTAATTTCTTTCTATTTATAGTAGAGATGGGGTCTTGCTCTTGCTCAGACTGGTGTCAAACTCCTGAGCGCAAACGATC